AAAACTATAAAATGAACGAAAAATAGATTCCAAAAAGCCCTAATGGTTCTAAAAATACTCTACATCGCGGAAAATTAAATAATAGCTTGTATTTACAGAAATTAGCATATTTTCACCGATTTCTGAAAAATGAGCAATCACTTGGGTTTATAATTTACATTGTAAGTACAAGACTGAAGTTGTTTACCGTGGTATAAAAACTTTTTAATATTTTTATTGTTTTCTAATAAAATTCTGGATGAATTTGACAATAGTGAACATATAATATTAATAAAATAAAATTGTTTGAAATTTTGCGGATCAATGACATCTAATTATGTATTCAGGCAAACAAAAATAGCCCGAAGATTAGCACGAGTTACTGCTAGCCAATTTCTTTGTTTGGGATGGATCTGTATTGGTATAGTTTTATGCAGACTTATATACATATAAAATATATGTACGAATAGTACGGACAGTAAAGCGTAAAAAATAAGCTTGAAACAATGAAAACGATAGTATCTAAAAACCAACATATTACTTACATGCTAATAAGCAATTTATAATAATGTCAATGTAAAAATGTATAATACAATTAGGCTGCTAAATCTAAATATAATATGACGGATACGTAAAAAGAAAGACAAGTCTAATTTCAAATAACTTCAGCTAGTCATATCCAACACGTATGTATGTATGTTTGTATGTAAGCTGTAAGTACGCTGGACTCCGTAGCGTTCGTTTGTAAACACGGCTGCGACGCCGCTGTTTACCCGCGCCCCGCCTCCGCCCCGCGCGCCCCGCCCTCTCCCGCGCGCCTGCCGGCGATCACGTAGGCCGCGCGCGGCGCCCGGCAGCGCATGCGCGTCAGCTCTTATCAGCGATCCCCAGCGATATTCGCATTCACTGATAACGAACACAAACGGAACGTTGGCAGGACTCGCGAATTCGCCAAGCGCACGGCGCCACGCTATGATTAGATCGCTGCGTGGGCTTCTACTTGTGTACGTTATCTAGTACACATACTATTTTAGGAGGTACACGTCTACACTATTTATGATTACAATTATAAAGGTTATTAAATATTTCATATTTCCAAATTGTATTAATTAACGTAAGTCACAGCGAGAAAGATGTAAATGATCAATTTCAGCATTAAAAATTCTTTTTATTTTTCGCAATGCGTATCTTACGTATGATGGATCGTTTAAAAGAAAACGTGTTTATTTAAAAAAGTAATGAAAAAATGGTCAAAAATAAAAACACTGGATGTGCGAGTAGAGGGAAGCAAGTAGAGACCTCGAAGGGCTTTAAATGCCAAATATATTTTCTCAAGCGTCATTCTTTAAAAAATCATTTAATTTTATAATAAAACGCTGTAATCAGTTCATTTGTAATAAAAGGACAAGTTAATAAATGTGTTGGAAACAAGAAATTAATACAGAAAAAATATAAATGTGCAATTCACACATCGTAGAAGTGAAACTTCAGAAAATGATATGAATATAGAGTATCAGAAGTAGGATAATCATAAGGATTTTTTTATATTATTTTTACCAAGTTTAAAAGTTATTTTACATTTTATTTGACATAAATATAAACATTACATAATAATCAGTAATGAATTTTATTATTTTTCACTTCCTGTGTAATGTATTCTATCAAATAACAACGGTTACCATGACAACGGTTACCATGGCATCATCGCAATGTATTCTATCTCATTCTATCGCCGGCTTAATCCTATATATTTATATGTTTGTCTCTTTTTACTGTCGCATTTCCGTTGCATCGAGTTTCAAATCACAACGATTCTAAAGAAGTTTCACTTCAAAATAAAAAAAGAATGCGCCAACGTCAAAATATGAACTTCTTTCGAGATTGTGTCAAAATTAAAATGATTATTTATTACTTTTAACCAATTGTTAGTTCGCATTCATATTGTTAGCATAGACTAGTGTATACGTATGTCATTTTTAATTCGCAGACATATTTTGCATACTTCTCATATTTTATAAAGACCTCACAAGTATGCCGATCTCCATCGAGCGCGCCTACTCAAAGTTACAAAGCGTGCTAAATATTATTCTTGATCTAAAGCTATGGGGTACTAATTACTTATAACCATGGTCCATGTTATAATGAATTGTATAGCTTTAGCTTTGTCAGTCGAAGGAAGGAACGCATATGTGGCATACTTTATTAAGTACAAAGTCAAGGGTAAATTCGTTGTAATTAACTATGTAGATCGTTCGGTGGCAAAGCTCAGTTACAGTTACGGGACCAATAAACAACGTGAGTCTCCACACTTTATAGGTATTTATTAGGGAAATAGCGTTTGTCCGCGGCTGTACACGCAGAGTCGCCTTTATGTTACAATTATTTAGTTCCTAAGGAGGATCCAAGCACATTGTTAGTATCTGTAAAATTTGACATTCCTCAATAAATAGACTCAAAACAGCAAAAACAAAAAAAATTAAAACCCATCAGAATGCCTCATTAAAAGTTTAGCTCGTATGATACGAATCCGTTTCTATTTAAGTAATGTAGTTGAACTATGCACATTCATTTATAATGTCGAGACACATAAGCCGAGTACAGTTTTCATAAATATCGTATCCTACACCTTGAGACACATAATCAATGTTTATTTCTATTCCAAGCCCCCAATTCATCGGTCACGACAATTGTAGTAATATTGTTAGATATTTCATTCAGTGCACGCTTGCACCAAACGTAACGTAACTCACGATAACCTCAGCTTTATACATTAATGTAATCATAGCTCACATAGTTTTCGAGGTTTTACAGAAATCTTTTTTCAAGATTTCTACATCTCTATATTAAATTAAATGAGTGGTATTTTAAAATTGAAATATTTAAAACGAAAGTTTACGATCATCTTCATTCGGTTTAGATAACATAGCATGTTACTAATCATTAGACAAAACTATTTTTTTCCTATTTGAAAACCTTTTCCTGAATCTACCCGTTTGAGACTCGAACAGAACGACACAAATACGAGAGTGACGACGACAGCAGATGGCAGATGGTTTTGATGCATTCCCAACATTAGCATGTCCGTTTCCTCGGCATGTCCATTTCCATTGATTGCGTACGTATAAGTAAACAAATATTTTTGTACTAATTTCCAAAACAACCTCTGTACAAATATAACTGACGAGCAGACGAAAATAAATAAATTAAACATTTTATTTTTTGAACTTTTTCTTCTTTTGAAGCTTATTATTACTGGTTAACAGTTCGGACTCATTTGGCTAATTTTGTTTTAAAATGTTCGTAATAGCCCGGAAATTATGGATTGTATGAAATTTTCGTGTGAACTCAAAGATCACTAATAAATTAATTGAAATCAGGACAGGACATTCTTTGTCGACAGTTGAGTCAACTAGTTCAAAATAAAATCAGTCTTATCATAGTTCTCTTCTACTAATTGATGTTTTTATTATACTACCTCTTCCAAGTTCCAATCCTTTGCAATACGAGTGTGTAGGAGAGATTAGTCCAAAACCGGGTACCTATAAGGTTAAACCGGGACACGGCATTTAGGCTTTCTAATGTGTTTGGAATTTTCGCGCGCTTCGTTTCTTGCAGTCTGTCATCTTGAAAAGTTTGTCAACAAAAGTGATGACGTGTGTGCGTGCTCGTTGGAAATATTTCAGAAAACAGTTTTTATGGAGGTTTGGTATAATATTAGACGGATTTCAAAGGTACTCGTATGCCAAGGTAAGTGGAATTTGTTTTGTTGTAAAGATTAAGTGTGTACTAATGTTAAATGAACATTGCTTGAATCTTTATTGTGACATGTTTTTAGGTTATTTAATTAATTTGTTTCTCTTCGGTGCGCTTGGGGTAAAACCGTACGGGGTAATATCGGTTGGTACCCGGTTATGTACCATTTTTTTTTATTTAATGTTATTTTGTATGATAATTTTTTACAGTTCACAAAAAAATGCCACAAAATTATAAAAAAAAAACGAGAAACCGACAATCGTGGAGTGAAGAAAGTATGAATAATGCCATTTTAGAAGTAATAGACGGAAAATGTGGACGAAAAATTTCCAAAAAGAAAAAGGTTTCAGACGATAAGTAATGATTGGGTACAATGTCTTAAGTGTTAGGCCCATGAAGTCTGTACTGGTTAGGATCGAGATGAACTGGATGACTTCCATTGCTTTCGTTGTTAAGGTGCAAAGTCGGGTATAAAAAGTGGGTATACCCGGTTATGGACCAGGCATGGGGCAAAACCGTAAAAAGTCAAGTTTTGAAATTGATAATTTTTTTATTACCAACCATAATGAAAACAGTGACCTCGTTGACCAAAAATGTAATTAAAAACTTAAAGTAAACGAAGTCTTATAAAGTTGATTTATAATGTTTGTAATATTTTTTTATTTAATATTTCCCTTAGCGTCCCGGTTTTACCCCACTTTCCAATACATGGTGCTCTACCATATTTTCTACAGAACCTAACATGGGTTATGTTCTATAGAAAATATGGTAGGGTAAATTAGTAATTTCTAAAAATTTCACATAAATATGTAACACATGCTCATCTTAATATGAATCACAACGTTAACTTGCTACACCGCCATTGAGGTGTAAAACGAACGCGTGATTGTTACATATCCTTTGGATGTTTTTGAGCTAATTACGACAATGTACTAAAACTAAGTGAATTTTCTACTGAACGCGCGTACGAAATTTACAATACGCAAAGGGATATATCCCACAGACAGTCCATCAGAAATTCGCGAGTTTACCTGTTATAAGCAATATGCACACTGCACGTGTCACGGTAGTGAATATATTTTAACTTGTATGTACAATCGAGTGCAGATTTTATATCAAACAATAGTTTAATCGGGTTAGTAATCAATATGAAGATGTATTGATAAAAATGTTTGAAGTACGCGGCCCGGTCGTACGTAGGTACTTACATAAAATATGAACAGTTTCAAGAGAACTTCTTTTATCAAGTGTACAAAAGTGAAGCGTACCTTCGTTCTGCCGTTGATGATGTAGTTGCCCATTTCGCCGTTGTTGGCCATTTTGTTCGCTGTCAGTATTATACTGTCGACCTGTAATATATTGGTTATTTTGAAATATACGTAAAAGACAATAAAGAATAGTATTACCAGTTTGATTCTGAAAGCAAACAACACTATAAAATGCATTATCATTGAACGCAACGTCAGCTCATCTTGTGGTGTATATAGTGGTTAATGAGGGAATTGGAACAGTTGATTTAATTTTTCAACGTACCTACTATCGTAAAATTAAAACTCCTAACATTGCACATATTACTTCTTCTTAATAATAAAAATCATTACTACTGTGTCAATAAAAAACAGATCCATCCTAGATAATTTTCCTTTTAAATTCATGACAGAGTGAGTACCTACACACACTCGTTTCTATCTTATATGTACAAAGTAATAATGTAATTAGGGTGGTGGGTTATACTTTTGTCGCGGAGGTATAATCTGAATCTCGGAAACGGCTCCAACGATTTTCATGAAATTTAGTACACAGGAGGTTTCAGGGACGATAAATCGATCTAGATTAGTCTTGTATTCAGCCCTTTTTAACGTCCCACTACTGGGCACGGGCCTCCCTTCAGTACGAGGGGAATCAGGCCATAGTCCACCACGCTGGCCAAGTGCGGATTGGCGGACTTCACATGTCTTTTGAAAACTTGCTAGGTTCTCTCAGACATGCAGGTTTCCTCACGATGTTTTCCTTCACCGTTAAGACAAGTAGTAATCATGTTGGAAATGATTCGCACATGAAAATATCAGAGGTGCGAGACCCGGGATTTGAACTCGCTTCACTCGGGTTTCCCAAGCGAGCGCGTTACCACTGGGCTACCACTGCCTTAAGATTAGTCTTATGTCCGAGAAAACGCGTGTTTTCGAGTTTTCATACAGTTTTCTTTTGCATTATTCCATGCAAAATATGGTCGATAATTTACATGCTCGGGCATAAGCAACGTGGTCAAACGGCCAAGGTGCAAGATCAACAATCACAGGTGTCCAGGTTCGAATCTCGGTCGCATACAAAGTTTTTACTTTTGTTTTTTTTATATTTATTCAAGTTTTTTGTTTAAAAAAAAAAGAAATTTGTACTTTAGGCCAAAAACTCCGAGCGAAGCTCGAAAGCCCAGGTACTATAATTTAATATGACTATTTTCTCCAACCCGTACCTACGTCGTACATAGTGCGTACGAGAGAAGCCCTTTCCTACATCACGTACGCACCACAGCTACTATAGTAAATGGTAAAATTACTCATAGCTACGCTACGCTAATTAGCCCTACTAGCGCGGCCCTACGGCCAGCGGCGGCCCTGCCTGTGATGCCGGTCACGTCTGCCTCTCGTGAAAGGGCTCACACGTGTGTTAGGATTGTATAATCTAATGCGAAAACACATCTGTTTAACTGTGACACGGGAAATTTAAAAGTTATAGTTTCACCATATCAATGTGTATTGGAAGCGGGTTTTATGATCTATTGTGGTTACTGGTGACGCTCACGTGCACAGTGCAGACTACATATTAAATTATTTTATTTATTTTATGTTCATAGGAAATATTGTTATTTTTTAAATTAGGTATTTTATGTGAACGTGAACAAAGAACATCTTTAATATTTATTGAAGGTGATTAAGTACTTGTTTTTAAGGTACATATCAGAAATGTAAGTATACATAGTAAGCAACTCTTTGATACCAGTCGTAAGATTAAGATTTGTGAACTGTTGTCCCAACATGTATTCAGCCCTTTTTAACGTCCCACTGCTGGGCACGGGCCTCCCTTCAATACGAGGGGGATCAGGCCATAGTCCACCACGCTGGCCAAGTGCGGGTTGGCGGACTTCACATGTCTTTCGAAAACTTGCTAAGTTCTCTCAGACATGCAGGTTTCCTCACGATGTTTTTCCTTCACCGTAAGGCAAGTGGTAATCATGTTAGAACAACATGAAATTGTTTAAATTCGCACGACACAATCAATGGTACGTTTAACTCGAGACGATATATATTATTATCATCTACTATCAGCTACATTTTACGATATTATAATAATCGACATTCCGGACTTATATGATTAAATATTTTCATACAATAATAGTATGTGCCCAATAAAGGGTAGTGCATGTCAAATAAACGCGCAGAGATTAATCTAGTTTTAATCAGATGTCGGCCAATAAAACCCAATGGTTTGTCACCACTAATCTTAACATACCAATGTGCTGTGTCACGGCTACTGTGATGCTTTCTAGAAGCTCACTGCCATTGGAGAACGATCCGCCGGACTTGCGAAAGGCTTGCCGAATTAATGAGATGGGTACCTACCTACATCTAACTAAAACAGTGTACAGTTATAAATTATGCTATAGATCCTGTTATTCGGCACAGCGGTTTTTTATTTATTAATTGACCCATGGGTAACGTTAATAAATATTACATTTCTATTGTTTGTGAGTCGTAGAGGAACATACAATAGAAATGAAACATATAATTTTTATATCTAGACCACTGTTGTGAGTATTGAATTGTTTGTTAAGACTCTCCAAGTTGCACAGGCACTTCGAGATACAATCAAACGTAACATAATTCTACAACTTTTGAGGCAAAAGAAACGGCTAATATGCCATCACATCATAGTCATCATATAGGTACCTATTGACGGCATCTTTATAAATTCTTCCCGCGCTTCGTCCACAGGTAAAGGTTTAAAAAAACTGATTGTAGATAAATACGTTGGGTATAATGTGAAATAAATGAGATACAAGTGTCTCGACAATTGTAACTTGTTTTTCATAGGAGTGGACCCACTTTTAAGAAATATGTAATTACGATAAAATATAAACTTAATGATGTATTTTGGTATAGAGATGGTTGGGACCTTGGAGAATAACAGGCTACTTTCTGTCACTACGTTTTTGAAAATCGGGATAAATTAGGGGATGAATTTAAGTTTCTTAAAATTACATACTTAATTTTCTATACCTATGTATGTATGTACATTTATATAGGCTATTCTATATTAAATATCCGTTAAAACGTACCCGAATAAAAAAATATAGACAGTTAAGTAGTACATACTTGGCTGATAAGTTGTCCTATGTGGAAGCATTGCGACTCCTTGCCGTCGATCCACGTGATGCGGTCGCTGCGTATCGTCTGCGCCTCCGTGCTGCCCGGGTTGGACACCAGCTGGCCCGCCTGGCGACACACACATTGTATTTCATTCAAAATTAACTATTGTGTTATAAATAATCTATTTAGTGTAAAACAAATAAATAATATTGCTATGAGACACAATTGCAAACAAAATTTGGTATTTTGATTTTCATAAACAAGCAAACATACATGTATTACTTTTAATATAAAGGCAAGTGCCTAATAAATAATAATACCACATTCTCGAATTTTAAAATAATCACCCAAATTGATTATACAGACAACATCGAATATAGGAGAGAGTTATCTCATACTCAGGCCTTTAATTAGAATTTCGTATTATATTCGGATCCAGACATAGGAAATTAATAAAACTATTGCTAGTAAATATACTTGCAAAAATAAAAAGTAGCTCAAGCAAGTTAAACAAGCTAGGTAAAATACAGTTAGATAATAACGACTGTGATATAAGAGTTGCAAGCATGCTATTGCCTAATATTTTGCTTGGGCTTCCTGATCATTTGTCATTTTGCTTGCAAAATATTAGATGTTTGTTATAATCTTTGACAAAATGTACAACAACAATAAGTTTAGGACTTAGGTCTCATACCAAATTTTTATTTTTATTACATAATGTATATAGTAGCTAAGTGCATCACTATTTACTCGACGATCTCTAAACATGACCCTTCTGTATAAGGGAGCTGTACATATTATTGTTTTTAGACTATTATTTATGCCATTGACATTCAATCTTTCTATTACATGCAGTCATGAAAAATTAAACTTAGGGACAAAAATTGTAAGAACTGTTGATATGGCAACGAATCAAACCATCAAAGTGCTTGAGGAATGTTTTTTTGTTACCCAATTGCGGCATAGTTCAAAGGAGGGTTATGTGTTTGACTTGTATGTATGTATGTCCGGATCCAATGTTACCCTGTAATTACTAACCAGTTTAGCCAATTTTGAGGATTTATAAGTTGTTAGATTCCTCTAGATAATGTGAGTGTCATAAAGAATATAGATCTCTCACCTTATTAAAAAGAAAAAAAGGCAGATCTTAAGCACCAATTTGTGTCTTGATTTTTTTTTATCTGAATCAATCAAGTGCACTCTCTAGATACAGCTTTATTAGAAGCAATTACAAAGACATATATAATATGTTTAAAAATAAATGAGAATAAGAATTTATTAAATATAACTAAAAATTACCTACTACCTAATAACTTCCTGGCCTAAACTAAAAAGCTATAAATAAAAACATCTCAACTGCATAAGAAGCCAATATTTGCAGTCGGAGAATTGAATACACATAGCAAGACTTGCAGCAAGCATAAAACATATGTGTTAAACAGTTTTTATCGTTATAGTTCACTTTTTGTTTTGAGTCAGGATTTTGTTATTTTTGTAGTAAATGCTAAGTTTTAATTTTTATCCTCATTTAGAATGTTGTTAGTAGTTTTAGTAATCTTTTTACATATTTACCTTCTTTGGGGCTTATTTTTATAAATAATTTATGAAATATTTAAAAATATTATTTCATATAGTAATAGGTTTAGTAAATTTCATGTAAACAGTATCTTGCATCAGCACTGACTTTGTATATATTGTATTTGGTTAAAAAATAGGTCAATTTGATTCATTGACATTGTAACATCCTATTTGGTGAAAAAATTTCAGAAATAAGTTTAGTCATTCTATAAACTATTAAAATTACAACAGTTAACAATAAGTTAAGAAAAAGAATATAAAAATTCTTTAGATAGTAAATAATTAAAATCTCCAGTAACAACAACAACCACTATTTCTACATCAATAACTTAATATGTGTTGTGTATTTTGAAATTGTTAATTTTCTGTTTAAATTTATCTGTTGATAAGACCAGTTGTTTTAACACTATAAAAATAATGTATAATTTTGTTATTGTTATTAATGGTACACTTTTTTTATAAATGTTCACATAATACTTACTGTGAATATTCCTGATCTGTACATGTCTAAAACTTCTTTCAGCACTAAAAGTCCACGCTCTTTACCCAAGAAATTGTTTAAAACACACACACCATACTGAGTCATATCCTTGATCACTCTCTGACAAATATTATAGTTAGGATCACTCGTGTCCAGAAAATAATTGTTATAAGGTGCTCCACTTCCTTTTAGAATAGCTTCTGGGTATTCTTTCATTCTAGTTGGTTGTTCACTCGGTATAGCTGGCATTTGTACATCTGTTCTATTTACCACTTTTAATAAATTACTAGTAGTTGCAGAATCAAAATCTACAGAACTAAGCTGTTGAGCTTTTTCACTTAAAATTTGTTGCTCTGAAGATCCTTCATGAGTTATGGCACTAATTTTTGTAATGTCTTTATTACTATACACTACACTTGAGAATACACTCTTGTCTTTTAAATTTCCCTTAGCACCAGTCGTAACTTCGACAGTTTGACCACTATTATCTACGGATTGTGAGGTATTTATACTATCACTAACAATCTCAATACCCTCCTTTTTGGCGGACTTCTTTTTAGATTTTTTTAGCCGTCTTAATTCACTTCCTACTTGTAATATTTTTTCTTTATTATCCAGAGAATTTTTAATATATTCTTCGTTTGTTACCTTTAGTTCTTTTTCCTCGACAGAAGTATGTTCGACAGTTTTATCTTTTCGCAAAGACTGTTTTTGTAACTTTGGTATACATTCACTTTTATGTCTTTTCCAGTCTTGTCGTTGATGTTCCGTGTTACAATAATAAATGTTAAGACATCGACCACATCTCCGATGTGTCTGTTGATTGCAAACGGCGCAACAAGCAAGTACGCCTTCTTGATTCATTCTGATTCTGAAATAATTTCTTTCTGGACCGGCCCTTACGACTGTCAACTCTAAACGTCAACCTTTATGACAAACACTCTCTAAATTTTGGCACATTACTTCGGATACTCGTAATAAAAAAAACATGTTAAATCACAAGTATAGAAAAAATATCTTTTCTATTCCATAATAATATCTATTACGTATTTTAATTTTACACAAAATCATCGTCGTGAAGGGTGCTAGTTAGAAAGCCATATTTTTGATCATTGTCAATATAGTGGACAATCGACTACAAGGACATAAAAATTGAGATTGTCGCTGATGAATCTCCCTGGTGGCTTTATTCTACGTGGTGGAAGGTAGTGTGTGTATGAATGAGTGAGTGGTTGGTACATTAAACTGTGCTAAACTACGGTAATGTCTATAACATTACCGTGGCTAAACGGTCATGGCTTTAAAGCCATTAACAAGAAAATTGAATTTGATTGAGGGAAACAACAAGCAAGTTGCCTTGTGCACAAAAAAAATCAGATTATCTTCTAAAACTTCTAATAATAGCTTACCCTCTCCCGTGGGTGTTAGAAGTTAGAGAGAAATTAGACATTATTAACTAGAATTAGAAAAACTATATATGTCACTGGTAAGAAATAAAATGAGAACGTTAATCGGCAAATTCTTCTTGTCTTGAATTCCACTTTATAGAACACTAAATGATATATTTAATGACCCTTATTTTGACGGTTTGAGGAATGTGGTAATATAGTGAAATTGCATTGATGAAGTGTGTGAAATAATAAATGCTTAGTATATAATGATTTTACTGAATATCATGGATCATTAACTTAATTTTTTAAACTACATATTTAAAAAATAGTATGGAATGAAAACAAAGTTTTGTAAAATTATTTTTTTATTTTATTATACATATACATATAAATCTATCAGAATTATACAATTTTTATAGAAATTACAATCATACCTAAAAGTATAATAAATATAAACAAAAGCATGAAAAAAACACAGGACATAAGTTTCATTCATTTCGCCTCCATAAAGATATGACAATATAAACGAAGTTCAATTTTTCTCAAAGTTAAATTTCAAGGATTATGTACAGTAGTGAAATCAAAATATGTGAAAATAATATATAAAAAAAGATTTATTGAATGTGAAAGAGACTAGATTAGTTCTATATCCAGTCACGCCCTTTTAAGTTTAACGATACCTGTACATCATTATTTTATATTTAAAAGAGCGAAACTCGACAAAAGGAACTATAGGTGCGTATAGGCGTTCGTCGCTTACATCGACGCACGTCACTGCACTATCTTAATACTAAGATTACTTACTAAAAAGAGACATACATATATTACTCTGTTATGAAGAAAACTTAATGTTTCTAATTATAATGTAATATATTACAAAATAACAATCATAACGTGTATTATACGATATTTTAATTTGTGTAAATACTATTCATTATAAAATTGATTGTGCGGTAGAATAGTGAAATATTCCGTAAATTGAACCCATGAAATATATGGAATAAATAAATTTTAAATTGTTACTAAATTCGTTAAGGCCAAGTCAAGTCTTCTAAATAAGTTATTTTATTAAGAATATGAGATAAGGTAGACGATTAATTAAGTTTTTAAAAACATCACAAACTTCTAGCCAATTGGACCCTATATAATATCTAAAATATTAGATATTATGTAATTTTTTTATGAACACGTATCCGAACGTCCCTATTTTGAAATCTTTGTTTAATTCGTAAAATCATTTCGTTCATTTTTGCTTTTCATCTTGGAAAGAGAGCGTAATAATTGAAAACTATAATAGTTTACCAATTGGTCTTTTAATAACCTCATGGATATTTTATATTATTATGTTTGATATTATTAGGTTTATAAAATTATTTATTCTACCATATTTAATAAATATTATTACTTTGACATGGTGATCACTCAGGTCATTATAATCATAAAGATTTTTTAATTTTGTTCTTTTTAGTAAGTACTTTGAAAAATTATAATTATTAGGTTTATTATCTTATAAATATATACATGTTATTTTACATTATTTGTGAACTAGAGTGCTATGAGCAAGGTCAAATTTTTGATAATGTTGCTATATTAAATATAATTTTAATAATGAATAATATGCTGGAATGTATTGCATATTGTTCATATACAATTCTTTTTCGTTTTTATTTTATTTAAAAAAATCTGAACATTTTTATAAAGTTCGTCATTTTTAGTTTAACTGACTATCTTGCCTAATTGGACATCCTCATTAAAACTTAAGTGGAAGTACGAGCCATGCTCTCATTTGTATGATTTTTGATATTACACTCTCGTATGGTCATCAACAGGTGGTACTGGCGCAGGTGGAGCGTGCAGGACCCTCGCCAGTTCCGCCTTCTCGTCAGCAGAGAGAACGTAGACAGGAGGAGCTGCGGGGAGGAACCGCTCGGCCTTGTGAGGCTCTCTCTGTAGCCGAGCGCGGTACAACATCACCAGCACACACAGTACGCTGATAATAAAGGCGGAGGTGGCTGCCAGCACGATCAGTGCTGTGTGGTAAGATGTGGCCGCTGATACCTGCATTTTAAAATTTAATTTTACTCTTATTAGTACAAATCCCGGGACATAGAATTACTGTTATGTAAATACTTTATTTATCAATTATCATGTATTTACATAAAAGTTACCGGGCGAAAATAGACGATAAATGGCGTTGATCTGAAAGCTGCCAAACTATTTTAATTCATAAAAAAGTGTGTATTAAAATATGTATATCGTAGCAAATCATAAAACAAAACAAACTCTGACTAACTGAGTGTAACCAGGCTAAACAGCTTATAAATTGCAAACAGGGCCATCTCTGCAGTACAAATTTATTATATAATGCCTAATTTTGAATCATCAGTAAAAATTGAAAACGCATTATTTTTCTTTACTGAGGGCATTATTTAGTCAGTCAAATCAGAATATTCTTTTAATGTCTTTTAATGTGGGGACAAAATGTTGGGACATTAACACACAGCGCCACCTAGTTCCATGATAAGCTACGAGGCTTGTGTTATGGATACCAGATAGTTGATACACTACACATATATAACTTTTTAAATAAAAAAAATTTTTTTTTAATTAAAAACACCCATGACTGAAGTACAAACATTCGTGCTCATCACACAAATGAATTCCCCCAGCGGGACTCAAACCCGTGACCACTGGCACAGAAAGTAGGGTCACTACAAACTGAGCCAAACGTGTCGTCGTATGAATATATCTATCTTTTTGGGATCTTTTTTTTCTTGGTTTCAATCAACATGCACATCAATAATAATCTATACATATAACGCCAACAACAAACGCACACATGAGCCACGGGTAAATGAATAAGTTAAGGACTTACAGTAGACTCGCTAACGATCTCCCTGTGCACGGCGGGCGCGGGCGCGGCGAGGCGGTATTCGCTGCGGATGACGTCAGCTCCCAGCACTCCCTCGTCCGACTTCCTCGCGCCAGACAGTTTCTCATTCTTCACCTAATTATTTATCTATTATAATATTTTTCGATAAAAACAAATCTCTTGAAATATCTATGTAATAATAGTTAGATAATAACGCATCACTTTTAATTTTAATATATTTTTCATAGGAAGAGACATAGAAGGCAAAAGTTGTACATCCTTATTCTTTTTAGGTCTCGGTGTGAGTTCCCGCAGGCTGAGTCAGGATCCCCCCCAACGTGTGTTCACCTTGTCGTGGTGGGGAGGCTCATTAACGTCCAGCAGTTAAGCCGGGCGTGAAGCCACGAAACGCACAGGGAGGTGGCCCACTGGTGGGCGGTGTACCATGCGGATTGCTCCTGGTACTTCTCTGATAGCAGAATGGACCTTGGAGCAACCCCATGGTTGTTGTGGCCTGTTTCGGCAGGCCTGCCGTCGGGGCGTCGTAGTTAAATGCGTAAGCGATCCTGCGACGACCCATTAAGACGGGGGAAGGTTTCGTTGGGTTTTAGTAGGTAGTACTGGCTTTGCCGGTGAGCCCACACCTCGCGCGTAAACGCATTTCAAAACGTTAAAAAAAAGGGTTTCATCAATTAGAATAGTATTAGGCTATTAGGCCGCCCAGAAGAACCTGAAGGTAAGAGGTGGCACTCACGAATGTGATCGTCAATATGATTTACCTGTGTTTCAAGATGATAAACCAAATCTGCAGCTCTAGGTCCAGACAGCATAGCGCGTAGTCTAACAACCCCATGGTCGTTGCTCACAGTAACCGGCACTGTTGCGCCGAGTGCGGACAGACGAGAAGTCAGTATGGCTTTTGCTTTCTCTCCTACTGCTTCTTCAACACCTATTAGCTCTAGCTCGAGAAGTGCTGACTCTATGTGGGTGACCTCTGTAAGCAGATATTGATATTATGGATATTACACATATTGTATCCTTGTAAAAGATAGGTATCCTAAAATTCACGTAAGATTTAATTATAAATCACACTTTATTTTTTTTAAAGTGAAATAGACTAAAAGATAAATCAATATCTTTACCATATTTTGTAAGAAACTATAACAGTCTTAAGTTTCACTTTTAATGTTGAAATATAATAAAATAAAAATATATTGTTCAACAATGAAAACGTGTTGTTCTTTTGTGGAGTACTCCAATTTTACCAACTCAACACTCTCAGCTATTACACTGTTGTTTTTTTTTGGTATAAGTATCGCGCAAATAGCAGCAAATGCAAATGTTGCTTGAATTTTGGGACACCTTTATAACTTATTTTCTTCTATTTGATTCCTTTTCGGGGCTTTGTTTAGTCTTGTTAAAGTGCAAATTGAAATTTATTTATTAAAATTATTTGATTGTTTTATTCGGCGGTTTTATTGCACCCGTCGTACCACATTCCCCGCGCAGCGCGGCGGCAGGCCGCGCCTGCCCCGCCGCGTCCACGCACCAGCAGCGCGCGCGTCCGCACTGCCGCGGCGAGAACGAGCCATCCGGCGAGCATCGCGGCCGGTAACCGTCACCTCCTAAAAAACATGTTACATTAAGCATCCATACATAATGCAGGTAGATTTTCTGTAACATTCTGACTTCTAAAGTATACCTACTGTTGTGATCAATGATCATCCTGGTTGCAAGGTACTGAATTGTTTTTTTGTATGTGGTAAATATTAGTTGTGGCTGAGAAAGCATACGATGAAAGGAACAATGAATTATATAATTTTGATAGATTTAGTTAAATAATTAGACATTCCGTACCATTATCACTTTCTTCTTGCATCATCTGACATTTAGTTTTGAAGTCGGTTCTCTGCGTCACTTCCACTGGTATGGTCTTTCTTCTCGTAGTTTCGACTAACCTCGGCTCGATCACTTCAGCAAGCACTGAACTATCTTCGTTGGAGGATATCTCAGTGGAGACCGGGGCGTCCCCAGCGCGATGTTCAGGCTCTAATTCGATGCTATCAAAATCTTCTTCGAAATCTTCTATCCTATATGCTGTCATTTGTCGAATAAGCTCTTCTAGTACTGTAACATTATGAAATTATGATACAGGTCGAGATCTGATTAAAAGTTCAATTTCCCATTAAGTGACTGATTAGGCAAAGAAGCAAAGATATTCAATAAAATAAGAACGTTAACATATCTCTTCACCGGAAGATTTGTCAAATTTGTATAAAATTTAGAGGATTTAATATAAATTCGAATAGTCAATTTTTAAGTATGAATATTGAATATACATATACATATGTTGTGAAATTTTGTACTCGTAAATTATAAATTAACTCTTTACCTTCGTCGGCTCTTGCCTTTTCATCTAGCGGGTCGCGCCTCACCCACTTACGCGCCTGTCTGAAGTTACAGGTGGGCCTGGCGCCACGCACTAGCGAGCCCTTTTGCGGCTCTCCGCGAGAACTCACACACCAACATACATCTGTCACATACAAATAGTTATCATTACTAATTTTTCATTATAATAAATATAAAACACAATCAGGTGGTACAACAATGTCAGTAGTTATTTATAGTTTCACTAATAAAACGAGCTTTCTTTACCAATATGCGACATGCACTGGACGGGCTCCCAGGCGCCGCTCGCGTCGCACTTGGGCACGAACGTCCCTTTGCCGTATTTTAGCGCTGCGGCTTCGTTCTTCTCGCGCAGTCTCTCGCATGGACTCAACACTGAAAGGTAAGGATAAATATTATTAAAATAAAAAGTAATGCTTAGAAATAAACCCAACTGTAAGTACGTTCGACTACAATTGACTTACAATTGGCTCATGATTATGCGTATCCTACATGCGTTTGAAGGTGAGCATGAAGTAAAAGAATATAAACTCTTATATGTACTGTCAGTGTCACTATCAACAGTTGTGCAGAATGAACTTGATGAACATGAATTTGTGCAATAAAATAGATTACTTACTAATGAAACCTAATTGGTTGTTAGTACATAATTAAATGATTCAAATCTATCAAAACCCTTTATGATTCCAAACAATATATTAGCCACAAAATGTAAGAGAAAAGAGATAGAGAAATCATGCCTTCTGAGGTTGGCAATTTTCGCTCGGTCTTCTGGGTTCTAAAGTCGGCTGAATCATTTTTAACTGTCAAAAATATTGTCATGAAAATAAGATAAGTCCAAAAAGAGATTGTTACCTAAGTATCATAAAGATACAATGCTGTGGATCTGTAGCTATATCAAGACCGGAACTTGAATCAATGTCATACATTTGCTTGTTTTAATTATTATAGTAGGGGAGCCCAAGAGGGGATTTTTGTAGTTACTCAAGCGCGGCAGATTAACATAAAAGAGGTTAACTTGCACTCTATTGAGTACTTTCACCATAATATAAGTCTTCTATATAAAGGGGCGCGTCTAGGGAAGCCGATTAAAATATTTAAAAAATGTTTTGATAAGGTAGAAATACTTGAAACCGTCAGATTAAGGTGTGGTAGGCTAGTCACATCCTGAAAAGTGTCCAATTCAATAATCTGCCGATTTGCACAAGCCGAAGAGGCAAAAATCGACTATAAAGTTTGTGGTGAAAGTACTCAATAGAGTGCAAGGTAACCTATTTTATGTTAATCTGCCGCGCTTGAGTAACTACAGAAAATCCCCTCTTGGGCTCCCCTACTATTATTTTTAAAGATAATGTTATGTATTTTTTAATTCATTTTCTAATTTAGGAATTTCTAAATATCAATTATAAATATCAATTAGCTACAATGGACCATAACTGGTCGACGTAGCTAAGGCTGACCTCGGCACCACACCCAATACAATAAATAATAATATCAATCATAGTAATTCTAAATGTTAAGGATATACTTATATTAAGTTTTTAAATATACCTAACGTACATATTGTATCACCTGTGGGCTGTAAGTTGTGACGCACTGACGCACATACGTACACATTAACAGGAGAAGAGTCTGCGAGGATAATGAAGCCATTAATAAGTGTATCTCACCGGGACACACAGCGTTGCACTCCTCCTTGGTGCGGAAGTTGTTGTGGTTGCCGGAGCAGGCGTGGTAGCGGAAGCGCTCGCACCTGTTGCGCTCGTGGTTGAAGTACCAGCGCGTCACGTTCAGACCTTCGCCATTCGCGCATACGCCTTCGTCTTTGCTCTCAAAGCAGACTGTTCCTGTTTGGTAAAATTATTCATTTTTTAAACAACTGACATTCTTAATATTACTTTTACATTTTAATTTCAAGTTAATTCTTAAAGCCATGTAGCTTTGGCAGTTGAGGCAAAGAATGTAGCCCCTACCCCCGACGTGTTAACCTGCGATACTTCATTTACACGGGGGAGGTTTAGTTGGGTTTTAATGGGTAATACTGGCTTTTCCTTCCGGTAAGTCGCACATAATCACCTCTATGTATGCAGATGGTATGCGTAAATGCCTTTCCCAACCTCAAATGAAAAATATTGTGCTCTTTAAATACAAGGAAGTTCCCATATTTATTGTAAGAAGGCGCTAGTTTGAGATTATACTAAATGCCAATTTGTCTTTTAACAATGTAACATTTTACAAATAGACTACTATTATAAATGCGAAACTTGGTATGTTTATAGTTCTGTACGCTGAAACGGCTAGACGGATTTGGATGAAAAATACAGAAATGACCTAGAGTCTAGCCTCTAGACTCTAGACTAACACATAGGCTACTTTTAGACGTTAGGTACATAAAGATGCACCTGTGCGAGGGTAGGTTACTTGTAGCTAGTCGCGTAACTAATGTTTAGGCCCCAAATGCAAAAAAAAGTGGAAGTATCCCCCTTTGTATATTTTAAAAACAAATGTGGTCTACAGGCGGAGACAGTTTTCGAATTTCTCATTTTTTTCAAAGCGCTCTCACGGAAGAACGGGTAGTGCAAAATTTAGTAAAAAAGCTGAGTTTACTATTCATCGTTTAATAGATCCTCGTAGTCCTCGTAAAAGAATAATATGCGGAAAAGGACACATTTTTATGTATTTTTAAAGCTTTAAGAGCCGTTCTCGAAACATATTTTAAAATAAAAGTATCGTTTGTGGCCCGCTGGGGCCCCCATGAATCAGGGGCTTTAAGCGACCGCATTGGTTGCATTGGAATAGCTACGCGTCTGCTTGTCCTCTACGTGAGTTTCTTGTGATATCACCATAATAAGAATGCATGAATAAGACTGACTAGGTTTAGGACAGCAGACGGAGGGCGCGGAGTCGTGCGGAGCGAAGCGGCAGGCGTGTGTGGAGGGACAGGCGGCGGCGCGCGGACCGCAGCGCAGGGCGCCGCCCCCCGGCGCCGGCAGCGGCGCCCCCACCGGGCACTGCGGCGCCGGCGAGCAGCGCGCCAGCGGCGGACACGCCTCGCCCTGCGTGCCCTGCAACAGCAGATACACTTTGTTTATCTTAGGTTCGGTTAGGTAGTTGACTCAAATAATAATTGATTTAATGACGGAGCATACTTTATTATACACCAACCACTTATAAATAAGTGTTAAAAAAGCTTAATAAAAAATCATAATTCTACACTCAATACGCCATTAGGTTTCAATTCATTTAATTAGTGAAACGAACTTTAAAAAAAGTTGAAAATGGATTGTGATGCTGATGTCGGGACTAAAGCTGTGGACACAAGCTGCGCACACATTCAAAACGTATTAAGAGTCCTCTATGAAGTAAAATTATATTTGGTTTAGATAAGTTAAGAAATAACATCAAAAAATAATTATATTTCTAATTGTGAGCTATGTAAGTATATATCTGGTATATTATTTATACCTTTTTAAAAAAAGGTTTGATATGACAGATGATTAAATAAGGTTTTTATTCATTCTTACCTCGCATTCCAATGGTACAAGCTCACAAGTCTCATCTTCTCTACATTTTGCCTCTGCACAAGGGTCTCTACAAGAGCAAGTGGGACAGCCCTTATCATCTAGTTCTGGTCCATGGGGACAAATCTGTTCGTCACAATCAGGGGTTGGACATGGAGATGGCGCATCGCAAGTTGGTGTAGAATTCGTTGTTCTTGTTCCAGGTATCTGAAGACAAGTTAGAAAATTAAAATGAAAACTTTATAATAATAATTACATTATTATTAGTGATAATGGAAAAAAATTGATGAGCTTATGTTTTACCTCATTGCCAGCTGTGTCTACACACCAACAAACTTTATTGGAGCCGCGGCATTGAATGTTGTCGTAAGTGCCATCTTCCTTGCAGTTGGGAACCCACGTCCACGATGGGGGATTTCCACTTTCTGCAGCTGTATGTAGTGCTAGAGCTCTAAAAATTAAAATGTAAGTACTAGTTTTATTTTATTTTTTTTTTATTTGAATTTTTATTGGTGAATATATTTTGAATAAAAAATTCAAGACTACACTAAATGTCAAAGTAGTCACTAATGCTTGACATAGTCACATAGCATGAAACATTTTTTCTTTTAATACGGCAATTAGCATTTTTTTATTCCCAACTTTCCGCCCATGTATCTGTATTCTGGTCTAATTAACGACTCATGTGTTTTTATATTTTCCTTGATAATATTATGAGAAAGTGTGGTTAATAAACAGGAAAACCTTTATTTGATTTAGTGATAGCGTAGTCTGTAAATCAAGTGATTAACAAGAACTACTAATTAACAATTATGAATATTGGAATTAGAGATTTCCATTATATTCCCCATTACTGTTAGTATCTGCGCCTCACCTGCGCTGTTGGCAGGCGGTCTGGTGCACGGCGTCGGCGCAGGCGGTGCCGCAACCGGTGGCGCAGCAGCGCCGACGCGCGCCGCACTCTGCGTCGCTGCGGCACGCCCACTCGCACGCGCCCGTCCACGGCACCAGGTACGGGCACTGCCCTGTCTTGTGCGGGAGACCTGCCGCAGGAAGTTTTATATATTATTATAGGTATTTGAACGTGACCTTTAGATTAATAGTCATATGGAGATTAGGTACTACTTCCACGGTTTTAGTTTCCGATCTATTAATAGAATTGAGCCACTTTTTTGTTTTAAGTATACCGTGATAAATATTAGTGTAATCAATATGGATATAAATGCCTTGTGGGAATATTTTATAAATGTCCAAAGCAAACATTTTTCGTGAGGGGAAATTAATGTCGCAAACTATTCATTTCGACGTCAGACAATCATAAATACTTAAAAAGAACTTACAAGCAGGCACAGGCGGACAGTAGTCCGCGTCGCAGGCGACGTCGACGAGCGCGCAGGCGCGGCCGGCAGGGCACGCCACGCCGGCGCAGGGGTCGCGGCACTTGCACGTGGGGCAGCGGCCGGCGCCCAGCTCGAATCCGTAGTCGCAGCCCATGCGGCAGGTCAGCTCTAGGCAGGACAGCTGGGACCTCAGTCTGCAACAAGTCCTCGTTGGTTTAGTGATAGGCTCACGCCACATCGGGGTTTTTTCATATAAAAACAAATAATGATCAGATATTGTACTTACTTATCACAATCCAAAGCAGTTTCATTAGTGCTTGTGTCAGGTATTTCAGTGCCGAATGAATCGACGCACCAACATCGCCCGTTGGCACATTGCTGCGAAGTGAAGGATCCGTCAGGGTTACAAGATGGCGCCGGCAGCGCTAGCTTCATGCCATCAACAGTACCTTCCATCTTTTCGTCGAAATCTCTGAGATATTCACACACTAATAGACCAAAATAAATTATATTATAAAAATGTTTTAAGGCATTCTGAAGCATTTTGGATCGGAAAGAAAATACACATTTACATAATGCAAAATATGCGGGTAGGTACGAGATAATATAAGCTGAATACATTCGGTTTCAAAGGTAACTTCGATATATAACGTATCTTAAATCGTAAAGGTATCTTTCATATATAACGTATAACATAAAGTTGCGTCCACGTCGCTTACTGGTAGGGGTATCGTCGACCCGGTCGGCCTGCAGGCGCAGCTTGTCGGCGTCGACGCAGATGGGCCCGCAGCTGGCAGCGCAGCACACCTGCCCATCCTCGCACTCGCCCTCGGGACACGCCGCGGTTGAGTTCATATTGCACACCGATTCCACCTCAGTTCCGCACGATTCAAAAGTTATCTGTAACGTATAATTGATCTAACTTAGACAAATAGTAGTAATAGGGAAAAGACGTAGGGGGCAGTAGCGTAACAAGCCTTTTCGAGCATCGATGCAAAAATAAAATGGAAGTACTAGTAAGTAGTAAAAATGGAACAACTGGCATATACAGTATTATCATATACATTATACACATATGTATTATACATACGAGTATATTATAGTGTATACAGTATAAAATAAGTATATTACCTATACGATATTTTGATTTATAAAAACACCAATATGAATCTCAAAACTAACGAAATTTGCTCAAAATCATCTTGTTATAATTAGGAAAATGTGTAACCTCCGTCGATTCAGTTTCCGTGGAATTGTCCGCATAGCCGGTGTCGGGGCAGCACAGGCCGGCGCTAGTGCGGCGCGCGCGCGTGCACGCATGCGCGGGCGGGCACTGCTGGGATGAGTCGCAGCTCATAACCGAGCCATCATCGTCAGTCGCCGGGACTCCTTCTTCACATGGATTGTCGTACGAGATTTTTGGCCGACCTGTGGCGAAAGCAAATAACAAAAAGTTATAATGTCCTCTTTGCCTGTGCTTTCCATTCGTCCTAATAGTCCGTTTAAAAACATTCTGACCTGGTATATTTCGGCAGGTGTGGATTTATTACAATCTATTAGATTCACCTATCATACCTATTAAGATTCCTCGCAAAATCTAGGAAATGTAGGAAATGAAAACGAAAATCTTTACACATTGTTTTTGTATCAATAAAACTACATTATATCAAAAATACAAAGTTCAGTGCCAAAATTTTGATTTCAGATCTTAATTGACTGGACTATAATGACAGATATGAGCAGGACTTTACATGCACTCCGATGCACAAGATGTGACATTGCCCAGTTTCATACACTAGCCTGCTATTCACTAACTAGATTCACAAATACAAATACAAACAAATAATCAAAGTACTAATTTTAGCCCGACCTGGGATTGGCACCCAGGAGTCCAGGACCTCGCGATCTGCTACCGTAATTACATACCTACTAGCTAATTCTAGGCTAGAGATTAGCACAGACATTTGTAGTATGCGATATACTCGTATAAATAAACAACACACAAGCCGAATGTAGTGAAGGCAAAGTTGGGGTGGGACACTGGTTAATTAATTAAATTGCTAGTATCAATAAATAAAACAAAATTACATTAAAAAGTATCAAGTCTTAGGATTTAAAAAGTTCTGAAACAACATTAGCTCTCAATAACTATTAGGTTATGTAAAAATGAATTCTTCGAAAAGTGTACATTTGGGATAGATTATAATTTTGTGATCAGGTCATGGTGTATTCGTAATATTTTAGTTTATCATAAACTTACTATGGAAAATAAAAAAGAAAAAGATATATGTACTTATAAGTACCATTTCATTTATTAGGTACAAGCAGAACCCGCGGCTTCGCTTGCGCTAAAACTACAAAAAAACTCAAAAAAATGTAGGTTTCATACAAACTTTCAGTCCTTATTTTACACACTCATGGGATGCATTTCGAATAATGCTAAAATACATATTTCTTTAATTGTATTGAAGAGAATTAATACCAACTTTCAAGTAATTCTGATCATAAATATTTTTTGGTTGTATTATAACTGTTTTATCCCGTGAGAATGAGATAGTCTCCCGCAGAAAAAAGTAGCCTATGTCACTCTCCAGCCCTCCAACTATCTCCACACAAAAAATCACCCGGATTACCGTTACTCCGTTTCGACGTGAAAGAAGGACATACAAACAAATAAACAAACATTTATAATATTAAAGTATGGATTAACAGTTTTTCTGTTAAAAGCTATTCGTAGCGTCGCGGAGTTATTCGTATTGTAATGAAGTAGGAATATCTACAGCTTGGTAGTTATTTAAATAGTTAATACGATTGTGTAGTTTGCCAGCAAACCTCTTAGGTTTTGCGTTGCATAAACAAATTTCGTAATTGATTCTTGTAGTGAGCTTCACATTTATAATATGTAAACATGTATTATCGATGGAATCATTAAGGATTAATATTAACCAAATACAAAAATCGTGCCACAATTTATAAATGAAATATAATAAACACTTACAAACAGGATAACCCGTACACAGCTCCCCGGAGCAGTCTGAATCTTTAACTCGCACGCACTCCTCTCCGTCCTCGCAGGGGAAGCCGGCGCAGGGGTCGTCGCACTCACAAGTTGGACACCCATCGTTTCCTATCTTATAGCCATACTCGCAGACGCCCGCGCACAGGGCCCTGGCACAAGCATCGAGGCTCCTGGCGCCGGACCTGGTGGGTCGCGCCAAGGAGCACCGGACTGATGCTGCGGGACCCATTGAGCCTCGGAGTTTATTTCCATCGGTATCTACGCACCTGAGGGGTTACAATTAGGTAATGTACATGTAATATAATTGATATTGAGTATCAGTTTTAGTATGTTACTCTGGCAAAAGCATTAATGTAGGTATATACCAAACGAATATGTAGCTAAGAGTAGAAGACATAAAATTAAACAGTACTAACCAACAAACCAAGCCATTCCTAGAACACTGCTTGTACTCAAAAGACCCATCGCCAGCACATTGCGGTACATATCCTCTGCCTTCTTTCTCACTAACCACCAGTAGCTCCGCTAACATCTTCTGTTGCGTACACATGGTCACGTTATGGGGCAGCGTGCAGTGTTTCCCACACTCGCCGCCATCGCAGCACTTAAGCATCGACGGGCATTCCAAGTCGTGAGCGCACGGCGTCCCGCAGTCGAGATCTGATGTAGTAGATGTCGATGGCGCTGGGCAAGTACCGGCTTTTTGCAGCTCGAGAGACGCGGGGCAGCAGACGCCGTAGTCATTTCCTAAAAGATTCACATGTACAAGTATGAGTGACATGCATCATTAGTAAATTTTTACGTTAGGTTAAGCAAACCTTAATACTAAAGTGAATTATTATATGTAAATATATGTATATCTAATATATTTTTGTAAAGTTCGCTGTGGGTATTCATGCAAAATGACACGTATTTGCATTAATATGTCATTGTGTCTTCATCATGCGTTTTGCAAGTCGAGCACTTGATAAAACAATGGGCCATCGAACAATAATTCCTGCTATGCATCGAGTCATACCTGAGTCGACTAGACATCTGTACAGCGGGGGGCAGTTTGGTTTCCCAGGGTCAGTCCCGCACAGGAACGGTCGACTCGTTTCCGATATTAGAAGTGGTTCACCAACTGGGCATATATTATGAAGACTTCGTCCTCTTTTACCTGAAATATCATCATACTTATAAATATATACTCTATTAAGTAGGTATAAAATAATACGTCTGTCCGTAATTTAAAATTGCCAAACTTGTTTAAAATTCTTACGGTTATCTGCTTAATACGATAGCCAGAATATGCTACGAACTAGATAAAGATCCAAGATCAATCGACAACATTTTATACTGAAACAGATATTTACAATTCAAGTTTTTATTATGAAACAAAATAAGTTTCCTGTAACATTATTCCATTTTTGAGTCACTTGTCACGTTGTCGAGCGTTGTTGGACGGTGTTTATTGCTATAGTCATAAACTATTCCAAGCCACTATTGCGTAGTGATTAATTACAGATAAAGAGATAAGGTTCGTAATCTGGGTATCTTATAAATTGTTATATAATACTGAAATTACAAATATTACGAATTAAGAAAACATTTTTTTCAAAAAAAAATCATATTACGAATAATCAATACGACTCTTGTTGTTTAATTTATATTTTGCAAAACTCTGATCAATAGATAGAGAACGATACGAGTATGTGTAATAATTGTATTTGTAATAGGGACATCCATATACATATTGGCTAATTGAAGGTTATTTTGAAAGAAGTACGTGTAACCTCTAGAGTATCTACATTATTTATATAACAATGGCATGCTCAGGAAGATTATTTTTTTACTTATATTTATGTTTAAATAGTGTTTAGTTTTTATATACAATTTTTATTTCAGACACCCTACTTACAAAATATTGAACGAGGTCGACGAAATTAAAAATAGTATAATTGATGAGAATTAGGCGTTAACATTTATGTATGTACTAACACGTAGGCACAGGTGGGCATGGCGACCTCAAGCACGGTATCTCCTCGAGCTGACAGGACAACTGTCCCGGGCACGTGACGCCGGAGCAAGGGTCCCTGCACTTGCACAAGGGACAGCCGCGACTGTCGAGCTCGAAGCCTAGCGGGCAGAGCATTCGGCAAGTATGAGCAGCACAAGCAGATATTCTCGTGCAGTTTACAAGACTGGCTGCTGGAGCTCGAGTGCCAGGGATCTGTGGGCAAATACATAGAAATTGTAAACATTGCTAAGTATGGGTTCTCTTAACATTTTTGTTTAGTAAAGTTTACATAAGTTTAAAGAAGGAGTAAGAGTAACGTACCTCAAATCCTGTAGGGTCCACACACCAACAAGAGCTTACTATCTCGTTATCGCATTGGATTTGTTCAAATTCGCCATCAGAGACTCTACATCTCGGCGACCTCAGAGAGCTCACCACACCGCGTCCTCCGCGATTTTTCTCGGCTGCTAAGGCCCGAGATATCCGCTCCGATGATAGTTTTATATTTTCACAACCTAGAGAAAATAGTAAGAATAACTTTATATTACTTACAAGAAAAGAAGATACACAAAAATTATAAAAATAGTTATAAATATACGTATTATATAATTTAATACATTCACGTTGACACAGTGTGGTTTCCCTAAGTCTATAGTTATCAGTTTTTTATTGTATATTAAGGCTGTGCACGATATCTTTTAAATTTACTTTATGTTAAAATATACGGTAGGCTATTCTTTGTGAACTCGATTCATATTTTCATTTAGAGCTACAGTTATCACTTTTGAATACCTGACAGGAGCCAGACAACGCTTACTTATGTATTTAGGTACATAGTTGTGTTATACCTGCCTCTGCTTGTACATCTACAGATTTTGGGTTCGAGTCCCGTGTCGAGCCAAAAACAGAAAGAAAAGAAGGATCTTTTTGTCAAAAATAGCAGGGGGGCGTTGGGAAGTTGCCAGTGTTAGTGTACCTCAGTGCCGAGGCAGAGCACGTAAACTCGGTCTTGAGTCTGATTTCTCTCCGAATACAATCCATGCGTATGATGTATGCGCGAGACCGTTACCCACGACTGTGACCGAATTGTGCATTGAATTAATTTAAAAGTAAGATCTTATGAAATTTACTTATTTTACATTCATGACTGTACTGTAATGTATTATATTAAATAGTATACGTGAGATAACAGCTCTGTTTCTACCAGTAATACGGGGCAAGACATGAATCAAAGATGATTAGAGAATTTATTTCTTTTATTTTTATGTATTGCTTTAAATTGTGAGTACAATGTAGTATTTTAATTTGTGCATTCTGACCAGTATGAAGCGGTTCCACGCAAGTCTTTCCGCAGGAGGTGTTGCAGCAGATCTGTTCCCCGCAGTCGTCGTCGGAGCCGCAGGGGCTCGCCCGCGGCGGGCACGCGGCGTTCTCCGCCGGACACCGCCCTCGGAGCTCGGCGCTTGCTGTTGGGTCACAGTACGAGCATTAGCTAGGCCCTAGGGTAGTGTTTGCTAAAATCCTTAATTACACCACTAGTTTATTTCAATAATAAAACGATTATTTATTTATTTATTTTATTGCGAAAAACCTATTTAGGTATTACTACAGTCATCCAACATCAAACTCTAAATTAACGAGTATCTTCAAGAACATGATGTCTAAAATGATATAAATAAATTTGTATTTTATAATTGTTTAGCTATATTTACTGTACTTTTGATTGTCTTGTATTTGTATCGTTTATGTATTCTGATACGACCGATACACGCAATATTTACCTTGCTGTATGAATATCAGGCTCGCGCAGAGCAGCACCACCCTCACCGTGTTCGTCGCCATCGTCGCATTACACTTGCGATCTCTGTGAAGGAAGCAAATTAATTAGTTTATATATGTATAGGTTTTATTATTTGATTTTCTTCTCTTGTTCAACTAATATTGTGGAATGTGTATCAATAGTCATAGGTATTCTGAGCCTTTATTTTACATTATATAATTATGCCTGTTGGTTTGATACACCAAGTGGCACGTTTGGCTGCATATCTAGAGGTAGGTATTGCCTACGAAATATGTTGAGGTAGAACACGTGAAGCCGAATTGTTGAATGAAATGAAACTTTAGTAGAATTAGCTTTGCACACCTCTTCGTACACCTGCATTACAATAGACGTTATAGTGACATATGTATATCGTAAATGGCTAGTCTTATTGAAATCGGCTACCGTGAGTGTTATCAGTTAGGAGGCTATTATTATAATTATATTTTTCATTCTGCTATAAAAAGGCAGTAGGATAACAGTTCTCGTTGATAGAATGATTCTAGTTTCGAACGACAGTCATTAAATAATGTTAAACAATTTCATGTTGTTTACAACAGCCAGAGATAAAATCTTATTTCATTATGCGCGCTCTAAATTAAGTTTCGTATATTAAATTCTCCTCGAGTACGAACATGAGTATTGTGTATGCATATAGCGCTACTCGCTAGATCCTCGCATCCAAATACAGCGGCGGAGGCCTTGTACTCGCACACGTAGGTGATTGTAAAACTACATAATTACAACAAGCTCCGGTCGAGCAATCGTATTGTTACATTTTTCTAATTACACAATAAAATGCGTGAATTCGTTACGTTTTACAACGCAACGGTTAAGTATAGTTTCTGGTAAATTATTCGTTACTTAATAAAATATTCCAATAGCTTGCAAAGTATTAATATTTCTCTATTTTCTATCATGGCAGGTCAGGCAAAACACTAGCTTCATTTTCTAGCCGAGTCGTAATCACTAACCCATTCTTTAGTTAAAATCGAGTCAGTTATAAGTAATTAATATTTAATTAAATAATATAACGCCATGGGGAAAATTTAATTAACCGTGATTGAAAATGCCACTCTACGGCCCATAAACCAGCTCTATGCAAAATACACTTGGAAAATTTGTTTCTCTCTTTCACATTTATAACACGGGTTATCCTTATTTTAAATAAGAATATGTATTAATGATTACCTATACTAATATTATAAAGAGAAACAGTTTGTTTCGATTGTTTGTTTGTTTGCTTGTGCCGAATAAGCTCTGAAACTACTAAACCGATTTAGATGAAATTTGGTAAGAAGATATTTTGAGAATCTATGAAGGATATAGAATATTATCCCGGAAATCATCTCTTAAGAGGATGAAAAATGGGATGAAAGTTTGTATGGGGAAGCAACCTAGGGACGAACCCGAGCGAAGCGAGGGTGAGTCGCTAGTTATTGATATTCCTCGAGCTATTTAGTATTCCTGATGTCTGTTTCTTATTAGCGCCTTCGACACGAAATTCCGCCATTGTGTCTTATCACCGAGAGCCATTACGTAACGCGCGCGGAGCATTGTCATGCTAATTCCGCTTTCTCCGACGGATCTACAATTATCTCTTGAAGGTCCCTGAACCCGATACATAAATTATATTATCCAACAAAATTCTTCCTTCTATATAAATAAAACTTAAATACTGTTTGTTGGTAATCGCGTCCAAGTGTTGTGCTGAACTGTACAGTTGGGCCGATTTGGGTATTTTATTTTAAATATTATTAACTGAATAAAAGTTTTAGAGAAAAGTTGGAGTTGTTCGGAAAAATTGTAAATTCGAGAAAACTGAATATTATGCTTTATCAAGGGTTCTAGTATGAACTTAAGGATCACGAACAAACTGTCAGCAGTTATAAGTAAAACAAAGTGTTTTTATATTTTGTGAAAAGAAAAAAAAAAACAGCTTGCTTAAAATTAGGTCACCAATGAATTATTTTTTTATAGCTTAAAATCACTTAATTTTTATCTAAAGTACTTTAAGAAGAAAATTTTGATCAATATTTCAAGTGTACATTTTGACGTTTCTATACAAATTTTAGGGTTCCTTACCCGAAGGTGCCAGAGATAGAACCCTTTTACTAAGCCTCCGCTGTCCGTCCGTCCGTCCGTCTGTCAGAGGGCTCTATCTCATGAGCCGTAATAGGTAGAGAGTTGAAATTTTCACAGTAGGTACGTATTTGCTGCTATAACAACAAATAATAAAAATAAATTGCACTTGACAGATTTTTTATTAACGTTCGTAATTGTAGAATTTCATCTTGCCTAAGCTCGCAAGTTTAAAAGCTATGTTAAATAAGTATCACTTCAACAAAACTTTGACCGTCTTCAGGTTCATGGTTAGTTTAACGAGTAAACAAAATCTAGCACTGTAGTGAGAGACAAGTGCTTGTCGATGACGTCAAGTTGAAATTACTCAAAGCCTAAATAGTAGGTACCTACTAGATGAATACAAAAGTTAAAAGCAACATTTTTTCTAACTAATATCTATTGGGTAATGCAAATAAACTTATGAATTAAAAAAATAGGGAGACAATTATTTAAAACTATAACTTCTTATATATCTATTGCCAAAATAAATCACTGCTTAGGTATAAGCATTAAGATCTATGCATTACCATACTAAATGGGTGGTATGAAAGTAAACGACGTGTACTCGTGCATTTAGTTTAAGATCACTGTGTGGGCGGTTGGGCTCACTTGAGTTTCAAAGTGAGTGAACTCCAGCTCGGTGACGAGCGATTGAGTGACGCAAGAGCGCGCGTGTCGAGTGAAAGGCGACGCGTCGGCTTGCGAAGAAAGTTGCATATCTTTCTAAATGCTACAGGCCGCGCATGATCATCGAACATAATATATAATCTGAGTTTTAATGAAACGTAATATAACATATTTATTATATTGTGTGTATTTAGCTATGGTTTTTAGATATTTTATTCCTACTTGTAAAATATAGATATTTTTTACCCATGAAATGACCCGTAGTAGTGTAGTGTGTGTGTGTAGTGGTAGTCAGAATTACGGTACATGTACTCGTATGTATGTGATTTTATAAATGATATCGTAATACAACAATTTTCATTTATTACCATACTTTTTTAAAACTTTAAAATATAATTGATAATTATTTCATATCGAGTTTTATTAATAACGAATTTTATTATTCGATCAATTGATCATCTCATGGGCCTACGTGTAAGGTGAAGTCAATCGAACTGATCTCCGGCGTCGAGCGCAGGTGAACAAAAAGATAGACAAAACTATTTTTGTGTTATACCACAAATACTATTACTCGTGTATAGAGTGCACATACGAGTATGTTGAATTTTCATTACATTATGGATTGCTTCCATATATTATATGTTTTAAGCCTTTAGAACTCGCTGTTATGTGAGTATTCCGCAACGATATTTTGCGTAGGTACATAAGCAATATGTTACTTCAGAAAATAGTTTCATTGTAGAGTTCGAAACTTTACCAGCGGAGTAACTTTGGAGGTATTTATCTTATTTTAGTTTCTAGAACAATGAAATTATGTCATTATATTTCGAGATTTTTTTTTTAATAAACAAAATTAGGGCTTATATCGAACATAATATATAATATATAATCTGCGTTTTAATGAATTGCGTTTGCGTTTTATGGAAAAAGAAATTACGAAAAAGTGCACTTCAAGTCAAAGAATAAACTTTTTACTGAAGCGCACGTTTTCGGTGTTAAAAAACGGTGTTTATATTTAAATGTTGAGCATTTATAGATTTAAAAAAATATATTAAAAACATGTGACCGTGCTCGCTGACCTGCATTAACAAACATCTTTGTAGAAAGTGAATCACTTTTATTGAATACAAACGATGACGAAATGGACACTGAGAAATGAGTAAGCCCGACGTCGTGAACGATTTCACTCACTCCCTATAGAAGAGGATCAATGACCTGGCAAAAATTTACTGCGCTTTTGACATTTTTTATACTAGTTAACTTTTTATCCTAGCGTTGTATTTTTTTATACTAGCGTACTTTTCGTTTTGACTTACGTTTTAACGTTTAGTATAGATTTCTCAGAGAAAAGATATTTTCCCGCAGTAAAAAGCATCCTAAATGTTGACCCGTATACCCAGCTATCATCATACCAAATTTCATCAAAATCGGTCCAGTAGTTTTCTCGTGATGCGTTCCCAGACAGACAGACAAAAATTTTAAAAACTATGGATTCGGCCTCTGTATCGATAATAATGACTATTTCAATAAGTTTTCCAAAAAATATTTAATGTACAGATTCGACTCATTTATTTTTTTAGTATATGTATAGAATATAGATGTACAGATTGTGATACTTAAACATTAAAGGGACAACTTCGGAAAGAATATTCATAAAAAAAGCGGAGCAATGAAGACTGATAGAGCAATAAGATTATTTACAAGATTTGTTGAAAACATCAATACTCATCCAAACGAATATTTCAAGACGCGTACTCTATCTACTTTGTAGCAGAGATATTATGTTTATCGTCTTTTCTACAGTATTGTATGTAAATTTCGTGATTGAAATTCGTGACACAGCTATCGTACCCGTAAATGTTACTTTCAAAACTGACGAGAAGTATAGATAATGTTGCTTAGAGAGAAAGGAAATAGCTTTTTGTTTTGTAATTATTTAATAATTCTTACACCTTTTTTATTAGTGATTTCTACAAGTTATAGGTTTACTGATATCTTTCAATTATATAAGAATTTTAGAGTGAAATCAAAATTTAACAAGAACGAACAAAATAATAATTTAAAGGAAGGATTACTTATATGCAAAATGTGAGGAATTGTCGAGAGCGAAGTTTATGATGAATTGATTATCATTCATTGCCTCCGAACAAAACAGGCCTTCTGAAAATCTCCGTACACATAATGTTGAATAATCAACACCGTATTGATTCATTGCAGCGAATTTATTACTAAAATTCTAAAATAGAAGTCAGCATGGAAAGATCCCATATATTTTTTTAGAAAGGAGTTCGAAACTTGGAACGCGCCACAAAACCTTTCAGCGAACACGCATTAAGTAAATACAAAGTGATAAATAAATAATGATTGTTATTTATTTTTATAACTAACCAAAACAAAAGGAATGACTCTCCTTTATGTGAGCGCGCGACGAACAGAAAGCTTAACCGGGGTCTGCCAGTCGGTCGCCTTTTTTAATCAACGTCCAAAAACGAGGAGGTACTCGATTCGTCGAAATCTTTTTTTATGTATGTTCACCGATTACTCGAAGACGCCTGAACTGATTTGGAAAATTTTTTCTTCTTACAAATTACCTGCTTATTACGTCTACACTAAAACTGAAAAAATAAAAACTTAAAAAAAAACCGACTTCCAGGCACTAAAACGTAAAAAATTACTAAACGGAGGTTTTCATTTAGAATAGATACTTAATCAGATAGGTATTTTCGAAGTCGGTGCCAGCCTACAATATTGTAGGATATGAATATCTAATAGGTAAATATGTATTTTACGTATCGAAATATATTAGATTTGCTTTGCATCGGCTGACACCGACTTCGAAAATATCTGGTAGGTTTCTATTCTAAATGAAAACCTCCGTTTAGCTAATTTTTTTTCATTTTAGTGCCTGGAAGTTTGTTTTATTTTATTTTTTAAGTTTTTATAATTTAGCCAATTACTTGTACAATAAAAATATTTCCATTGAAATCTTTCTATCCTCTTTCAACGCATAGTAACGCAGTGAGCATACTTTGATAAATATAAATATTTATCAAAGTATGCTCACTCATAAATACCGCTGCAGTTAATAAAACACAAATAATAAAAATAAATTTAGTTAATTGATAGAAAAAAATATAAGATGGTTAAAATGATAAATGAGATAACTTTTAACAATTGGAATTTCAATGTTTTCAACGTTAGCCTTGACTCTTTGCAACACATTTGAAGAATAATGACACTTGTGTTTTACCATTTGTACTACGTGAGGGTAAAGTCCGCGAGCGGCTCGCGCTTGTCTGGTTAGTTTTGACTTTCGTTTTTCTTCGTAATGGGCAGCGAGCCTCCGCGCGACCTTTGGAGAAATCCAGTTTCACAAAGTGAACAGTGACGTGCACCTCTTCGTATTAGAGTACGTAGGTATGTACATACATACATGAACTATGTTTAAAAATATGGACGTACCTATATGTCTGTTCAATATAAAATACTAATAGTGTAAATACTGATTTATAAGCGATTCATAATTATATACCTTTCTCACTCTAAATATTACGAGTCTTCATTTCATTTACTTGAATCTTACTCAATAAAATGCTTGACCAAGTTTAATAAGTCCAACTTCCATTATAAAGACGACGACTCACAGAGTGCAAGGAGGATCATAGTTGTTATTAATAAGGGAAAGCTACTCGTGACAAACAAAACCCAGCGCGGGGGTCGCTGGTCCGACTGACCATCGCTTTCACGATTTCTCTCACGCAAATTACGTCTCTACTGGTGTCATTTTATAAATAAAAGCTCATTCTTGCACAGAATATAAGAAAGATTACAGAAATTAATGTTTTGTGAAATTTGTAACTGTTAGTTTTATGTAAGCTTAACATTTAACAATGTATACTTAACACAATATATTTAGTACGAAAGTTGAAAACTTTATAATTCGTTTCAAAGTGATAAATAAAAAATGAAAATATAAAATATAATAGCGGTGCTGCATTAAAGTTTAGTATATTTTATTACCTGACACAAATACCTCATGAACTCGAACTTTGTCCATATATTGTTTATAAACTCCTATAAAATTCGCTGAAGCTAAAACTCGTAAAATAATCCTTTGATACGTAAAATAGTTATTTAATAAGTAATAACGTGTCCCTCTCGGTAGCGCCGCCATCTAGGAGATTTTGCACAAGGACATTTCTTGTATTTAGTATGGATATTTGTTCTTTCTTAGGAAACATGAAAATTAAAACTTTAATAAACCGCCAGTCCCTACCATATGGCCAAATAGTAAATACACAATAGTACATCGATGCCGATGTGTCTCTATGCCACGGGAAAGTGGGCGAGTATAAAGTTAATGCTAATCATGCGATGACGCAGGCTCTTCGGCTCTCGAGAACGCGGTAACGACGCTAAGACAACAACTGGCCCACGCTCTATTGATTAATAATAACAGAACATATTTGTAAATATGATGCATCTGCTGAGAATTTGATGTGATCATATTGGAAACTGCCATTTATCGTGTCTTTGGTTGTATTACTATACGCTACGTATATTTAGGATAAAATAAATGTACAAATTGCGCTAAAACGTCGGAAAGTCGTTTCGAGTTATAAACATAAAACAAAAAAACCGACTTCAAACAAAGGCACTAAAAAGTAAAAAATAACTGATTGGTAGTTTTCATTTACTATACATACCTAATCAAATATTTTCGAAGTTTCGAAGAAATATTAAGTTTCTGTCTGACTTCAAGCAATGTCTCTGACGAGAAGTAGAGAGAATACTTTTGAATATTTTTTGTTTGGGAAACGTTTGAGTTTTAAATTTTTCTTGTCTATGTCTGTAGAGCATTTCGCCCTACACTCCTATACCTTCACAGTGTATGGACTATGGTGTATAGTGGTTACGGTCTACGGAAAAATACACAAACACACAAGCAAAGTCACATCTATTTACTAGTATAAAAATAGATCGGACGAAGGCTTACAATATTTAAACTTATTGTTTAAACAAACACCTAGTCTGGTCATATGTCATGCCTATAAATATGACGGTAGGGGGTTCGATGTTTGTACAGGATA